AGCCGCTACCCGGCAGCGCGGAGGCTGGTTCGACGAGTGCGTGGCACAGACACGGATTAAATTGGTCGTCTACGGACGATCTACATAAGTGGGGTGCCGTGGACGACCGACACGGTCTCGTCTTTCGACAGAGCACTACGACGCCACCCACGCAACGACACGCGGAACTGCCGCTGCATCTTTTCGTTGATCTAGGATTCGGCCACCGCAACTGGGGAGTTGCGAGTCTGCGACGGTTCTGCCGTGCTTGATCCCAGCTGTGCGTCTCCCCTGCAACGGACCCTTCTCCTATAGTAACCGTTGACCATGCGACTACCGTACACCCAAAGATAGCCAGTTGCGGCCGTGGACGGACCTTTTTGTGGTCCCTGCTGCGCTCTCGCTGTCGAACAAATCTCGGCAGGGTGCGATTGCGGAGTCTCAACAAGGTGCGGACTGCCGACAGAGCTCGGAGTCCCGTTAAGTCACGGACTCGCAACAAATCTGAAATTCGAGACTTTCTTTTTCGCCACTCTTTGTACGATTTGCTAGTCGGATATAATTAGCTTTTACATTCAGCACAATACAAGTGATTTGGCCATTAATCTGGTTTCGAGACCGAAGACGACCGCGGTATCAACTTCACTCCCAATCCAAACCAAGAACCCCGTCCTTGCCGCCCCGCACGGCGCTCTCCACTGCCTCCGCCAGTGCGCGCAGCGCGAGCACGTCGTCGCTCAGCGCGGCGCGTCCCGCATTGGCGGGGGCGGCGCGGATATCCTCCGCCGCGATGCCCAGCGCGCGCTGCAGCGCATCCTCCCGCTCCGGTCCCCGCAGCTCGTCGAGCGACGCGAGGAGCGCGGGGAGGCGCGGGTGGTCCGCGAGCGTTTTGCGGATCGCGGGCGAGGTCGCTGGTGCGTGATACATGCAGGATACAGGTCGGCAGACGGCGCTGGTGGCGAGGGGGAAACGGACCTATGGCCTCGTACTGGGGCGTTTGCAGCGGCTTGGGGTCGTTCCGCTTGAGGGGGTCGGGGTAGGCGGACTGGTCTGGGACGTATGGCCACTTCAAGGAGGTCAGAGGCCGGAGAGGGGGGTCCGTCTTCTCGGGAAGCGGCTCTTCTTTTTCAGGAAGGGCCGTTTTTGAGGAGGATGGTTCGGGCCCAGGCTCGGTGGGACGAGAGTCTTTGAAATTGTTGGAGATAGTTAGTGAAGAGGACCAAGCCTTTGAGATAGCTTTACCTCCCGACTGTTTCGAGTTCTGGGGACTTGCAGAAGTGCATGACTCTTCTGCAATTTATTCCCTTGAGGCCGCGTTCTTTTTAAAATTTAAATGTAGACGCCATACCTTCGTGTTTCTTAAAGCAAGGGACAGAGCAGCTGCATTTCTCGTCGCTTAGAGATGGTTCACGGGAAACAACACGTACGGACTAGACGATTGCACATCCAGAGCAGGTGTACTTGGATTCGTTATTGGTGCAAATTTGGCAGTTTATGCGACGATTCTTTGGAGCCATCCGGGAGAAGCCAAAAGAACACTGAAACCGCAGGAAAATCTTCCAGAGTTATCCTCAAGAATGTCGGCAATGAGAATATCTTAGAACCAGTTTGGAACCAGATAGACGTCGAGGTCAAAGCTTTGTCACTGTCACGTACGCGACACGTCACATAACCTCGTGATTGTGGATAACTGCGATTCGATGTTGATTCGATGCACCTATCACCCTCCAAATATAAAATCTTGGGGTCGCGCCGTCCTGCATTCATGAAATCAGGGAACCAACGATGAATACGCCGGAGAACTGTTGGCCTCCTTTTCTCCCCCTTGTTTCCCACCTGCTCGCTTTTCTCCGTCTTTGGACCAGGTTTCTCACTGTTTCTCACCTGTTCCCGCAGAGATATTACCCGAGGTCACAGGCGCGGTGGCACCGTGGCGCGCAATCCAAAAGTGGTCTAAGACAAATGGAATTTCGTTGTTCCGTCCGAAATTGATCGTGTGCGCTCGCGTCGGACAGCTATCCAGATGCATAGCCTATATAACCCCCCTGCGTGCCCTCTCGCCTGCCCTCTCGCCTGCACTTGCCCGTTGTTTGCACAGCTCGTGTCGCGAACACATCCATGGCGGACATCCAGCCCCAGAACGTCTATGACGTCGTCGTTGTAGGGTAGGTACGTTTTGACAGACGTCGAGCTCCACACCGCTGACGGCGTCCAGGGGAGGGCCTGCGGGGCTCATGGCGTCTCTGTGCCTCACCACCTACGGCTTCAACATCCTCCACATCGACGAACGTCCCCACCCAACAACCGCTGGCCGAGCTGACGGTATTCAGCCCCGCACCATCGAGGTGCGCTGTCGCTGGCGTGCTTGTTGTCGTTGTGTAACATCTAACGTAAAAACCCACAGGTTTTGCGTAACATTGGTGGAGTGTCCACCGCACCCGTACCCGGCGGGCCCATCGTCGGCCAGCCTCCCATCGGCGGCGGCGGTGTGGCAAAGAAGATGATCAGCCAGGGTGTGCGCGTGTACGAAGTCGCGTTCTGGGACCCGACTCCGACGCAGAAGCTCGCCCGCACGTCCCGCGCCCCGTCCTGCCCCGAGTTCATCGACGTGGTCGACAACTACACGCTGCTGCTGCACCAGGGTCTGATTGAGCATGCATTCCTGGACGAAATCGAAGCCGTATGTATTGCTATTCAATGCCCATCTTCCTTTTAAAAAGTTTTGCGACCTCAGCGCCGAGCTGTGCTGCCGGACGCGTTCCCGACGCCTCCGAATGGCGTCTTCCGCCCGTACACCCTGCAAGACTGCCGCACGCTGCCGGAAGACGCGTCGGACAGCCTGCGCCGCACCCACCCCGTCGAGTGTGTCATCCAGCACGCGGACTCGAAGGCCAACCACACGATCCGCTCCCGCTACCTCCTCGGATGCGACGGCGCGAAAAGCCACGTCCGTAGATGCATCGCGGGCGGCGAAGTCGGCGACGGCGAGTGGCAGGGAAAGATCACCATGCAGGGCGAGGCTACGGATATCATCTGGGGTGTCTTGGACGCTCGCGTCAAGACTAATTTCCGTGGGTCTCATGATATGTGGGCACGGAATTGGCGCTGATGACATGCAGCGGACATCAAGTACAAGTGCCTCATCCACTCGAGGTCTGAGGGTAGTATTATGATTATTCCACGCGAGGCGAACCTTGTCCGCTTTTACGTCCAGCTGCAAATCAGCGAAGGTGGCAAGGTCGTTTCTGTCGGTGAGCATGCTTGCGTTTTTCCTTACCTTTGACAAAGACTGATGTGGTGTAGCCCGCGACAAAGCCACTCAGGATATCTGCATTGAGCGGGCGAAGAAGATCTTCGAGCCCTTTGAGTTGGAATTCGGCTACGTGGATTGGTTCTCGGTGTACCAAATTGGCCAGCGTATCGCGTCGCAGTACACGCTCGATGACAGGATAATCTTGGGCGGGGACGCTGTTGGTTTCTTTACTACATCGATACCTCCTCTTACTATGCATTTTAGACGCACACACACTCCCCCCAGGCCGGACAAGGCATGAACATCTCGATGCTAGACATGTACTCGCTCGCATGGAAGTGCGTCTTCCCTCTTCCCCTCTCGTCTATGTATGTGCCTAACAGCAACACAAGACTCAATCTCGTGATGAAGGGCCTTGGCAAGCCCGAGGTGCTCCTTCCCTCATACGAGCACGAGCGCCGCGGCGTCGCGGAGGAGCTCCTCAAGTTCGACGGCGCGTACTCGAGATTGTTCTCTGGGCGCGGCCCGGACGCGAAGCAGCTGCCAAACGGCGTGGATCCCGAGCAGTTCATACAGATGTTCAAGCAGAACGCGTTCTTTACCTCGGGGTGCGGCGCGATCTACTCTGCGAACGCCCTCAACGCACTGCCCGGAACGGAGGTGCTGAAGGGGCCGCATGGGAAGGCGTTCAGCCCGCAAGGGGTGACGCTCGTGCCGGGACAGAGGCTGACGCCGGGACGGGTGACGCGCGTTATGGATGGGAACAATGTACGGTTGCAGCAGGAGTGAGTGTTGTCTCTTTTTATGATGTACACACTCCTGACGAGGGACGTCGCAGGGTGAAGATGAACGGCGCATTCCGGATCCACGTATTCGCGGGTGACTTGGACGCGACGCGCCCCGCGCTGGAGGCGTTCGCGGCGTTCGTGAACTCGCCGGGGTCGTTCTTCAACCGCCACCGCGCCGGCGCCGGCGTGCGCTCGTCCGTCATCGATGGGCCCGCCGCGCTCGTGGACAACGCGGGCGGCCGCAAAAGCCAGCACGTATTCAATCCGTGCGTTCTCCCCGCGCGCGCTGATTGTGATAGCGCCCGACTGATTGGCCCGACCCGCAGCTTCTTCACCTTCCTCACGATCGTGGGCACGCATTGGTACCAGTGGGAGATCGACGAGCTGCCGAGCCCGCTGCGGCTGTACCGCGCGCAGGTGTACGGCGACGCGGTATTCGACCGGCGCGTGCCCGAGGCGGGGACGCGCGCGCCGCTGCACTGCAAGTACGGCATCGACATGCGGAAGGGCGCGCTCGTCGTTGTGCGGCCGGACTCGTATGTCGGCGCGGTGGTGGACCTGAGCGAGGAGGGGTGGCTGGGGCTCAATGGTGCGTTCCTTCCGACTTCCGTAATCGGGATGGGGCGTTGATGTCGCGCACACAGAGTATTTTGCGGGCTTTCTGCAGGTGGCGCCGCAGCTGCCGGTGGGGGGGAGGTTGAAGGCGAGCTTTTGATGGGGCGTCTGGGAGCAAGGGAAGCGAACGAACATTGAAGCAATACTCTAGTCATGTGTAATTCTAATTCTTCGGTACAGTGGAAAATAATTTTAGTGCTCGATGGTTGAAATGCTAAAGCATCTTCTTTTTCTGGAGGGTGTGCTCTTTACACAGGAGCGAGGAACTGGGACGACAAGGTTCAATACGCCTTCCGGGAAGGAGTTCATTCATGAAGAGCCTCATCTAGACAACGAAATACGGTGCTGGCGGGACAGAGCAAAAATGGACTAATCCGGAATTGAACCGGACACCTCTCGCAAACTCATTGGAGTGATTTGATGCTAAGCGAGCGTGATAACCAACTACACCATTAGCCCCACTCAAGTCTGAGAACCCTCTGATCTCCATCTCACTTTTCTCACTTTTCTGTTACTTTTTTCGCCCAACCCCTGCCCGAATTCAGCTTTTCAAGGCCGAAACCGCCCAAATTGTAAGCTTTTTTAGGCTGATTTCTGGGAATTTTTCGGACCAGGCTTTGGTGGAGTATGTATCCCGGGGCCTGAGTTGAACCAGTTTAGCCAATCCAGAGATCTGACACCTCAGTGGAACAGTAGTGGAACACATATACCTGTGAAGAGATGCTGTCGCACAGTAACTGACTCGCAATCAGGTGAACGACACAATATTGACCTCAAATGGGACCCCCGGGCCCCAGAGCCGACTCCAGGATAATGGAATCGCAAGCAGGCTATTTGGATGTTATCATCGGGCCGGGTTTTTCCGACAACAGTGACTCATCATTTGTGACTCACTGATATCGACGTGCCGCCCTATGTCTAAAGTGCGTGTTTTTTTGGGGGGGGATACGAACATGATTGTGATGAGCCGTTGCAGATAAGGGAAGTTTTGTTCAAGAGCCGGTTTGGACGCAAACCAAGCTCCAAGGTGAGTCGACCTCACCGCGCTTCAGTCTGACGTTCTGAATTCTGTCCAGTTTCCAGAGCCCTGGACTGACTCCGCATGCGATAAATACATTATCGATCGCGTGCACTGGAACACCGAAGGCCCAGAGGACCCCAGATTATCCCCCAAGAGGTCGTTGTGAGATTTCGATGAATTTTCAGATTTGTCCGAACTTTGGGTCGCCGCGAGGTCGAAAGATTTGTCCGAACTCCGCTCATGACCTGGCCTGTGGGTTGATTTTGTCCGAACTTTGTACATGTCATTTTTTTAATTGCGGAAAAACCCCAGACAATTCGCGAAAATTTGAAAACACTTGCCACAATAATGTCCGAACTCCCACAACGACCTAGTCCAGTTTTTGACGCGGGGGTCTGATCAGGGTTCGGCCGTATTACAAATGATGGGTGGCTGTGCCTTACTTCCCTTCTTCTTCGACGTGTTTGTGTCACTCTGCGCTCACCCGGTGCCACTGCAAGCATGCAGGTACGCGACAATAGTCCTCTGCTGCAAATTTCTCTGCACAATCGGGCTCAAGTTTTGCGTTGTCAACTGAGACGGGAAGGATAGAACATTTTGATAATGACGGAAGAGGAAGGAGAGAATCCGAAAGAGCCACCTGACAGAGGTAGAGTCCCTTGAACCTAAATTGAACCGTTACTCAGACGAAGAGCTTGTACATGAGAAGTAATTTATATTTCATTAATGTTTTTGTACTAGCCATTGAGCCGTGAACTGCGCCTGACCTCCTCACCCAGATATTCGTCCACCTGCCTCCGCCTCGAGCTCGTAACATATGCCGGGCCGTAGTCCTTCGCAATATCGGCGGCGGTGAGCGCGGGCACCCTCGACTTTGACTTTGCGACATTTGTAATGGTGCCCAATGCAACTCGTTTGCGTGGTTTTCGTGCGGCTGCAGCAGGGGGTGTTAATAATGCAGCCGGCAGGGAAGAATCAGACTCGAGCTCTGAGCTGCTGTATGGATCCTCGGCCTCCCCCTCGCTCCCCTCCGATGATACCACATTCCTCCTCCTTTTCGTGCCGGCGGCCTTACGCTTCTCTCGATCCGCAGCACTGCGGGTGGCGGCGCGGGCAAGTCGCAAAGTCTCCCGGCCCTCGTTGATCATGGATTGAAGTTCAGTTACGAGTTTGAAGAGGGTCGCCGTATGCAGCTCTCGATGCCGCCAAGTACTGAGTAGCAAATCATAAGACATCTTCGCCGTCGAGGATTGGTGCGACAAGGTCTGAACAGGGCGAAGTCCATTGATCCATGTAGGTATTAGCTTCTTTACGATAGTCTGCATAGTTTGGCACCCAATCGGGTCCTGCCATCGTGGGGCGCGTGCCATAGGTTATGGTATCATACGGAGAGAGCGAAAACGTGACGACACTGCCACAAAAGATTGGTAATAAGCCGGAACCCCAATCAAGCCCCCGCGCTTACTAACAGACTTCAACAAACCGAGGTACGAGGGAGCAATTGTTGAAGCGTCTGGCTGCGAGAGACTAACAACGACCTTTCGGCCGCGGCTGCCTTGTCCGAACTCTCACAACGACCCCAGCCGCCCGAGGTCCAATTTTGTCCGAACTCGCGCATGACCCCATGGATCAATTACAAAAATTTGTCCGAACTCTGACAACTACCTCTTGCGGGATAATCTGGGGTCCTAGGCCCAGTGGCCACTAACGTTCCGCACTTCTCGGTAGAGTGGGGCATCTTCTCCGAAATGTATCTCATCTGCCCCACTGTCTATGGCGTCGAGATTGGTGGCCTCATCTTGCGCTACTACTATGGAATTACTGAGTGCATCATCCCCGTCGGTTGTGTTTTGGGCGCGCCCCAGGCCGACGTGTTCGCGTTCATGCTCGTTGGCCCACCAGACGCCAAAGGCCGGAAGGAGTTCTACGTGCTCCACCATGAGCTCAAACAATTGGACCAGACGTGGCTCTCTCGCTTCAGCCCCGGATTTGCGAGTGTGGCGGAATTCCATCGAAACGTTGCGTACGGCCGGCGTTCGCCGAAACAGCAGGCACAGGAGGTCTTCCCAGTCCCCGGAGGAAAGGAAGTACTCTTGGAACATTGCTATCAATGTGGCTACCTCGAGAGGCCGAGTGACAAGAAGGTGGCGGTGAAGCCTGAGATGTCATTGGAGGATAAGGCGTCATTGGCGGACTGGGCAGCATACATCAAAAGGCATTTCCCCGGAGCCGTAGTGACCTCGGATTGATGTCGTGGGTGAACTTCGTGTATGATATAAAAGTGTTCGAATCAATTGAGCAATGCTGGTGCATGATATAAAAGTGTTGTACTTTTGAGGTCGAAATCGAATAACAGTGCGTTCCTTCAACTTCCGTAATCGGGATGGGGGTGATACCGCGCACAGATTATTTTGCGGGCTTTCTGCAGGTGGCCCCGCAGCTGCCGGTGGGGGGAGATTGAAGGCGAGGTTCTGATGTGGCGTCTGGGAGCACGGACATTGAAGCAATACTCTAGTCATATGCAATTCAGTGTAATTCTAATTTTTCGGTACAGTGGAAAATAATTTAGTGCTCGATGGTTGAAACTCTAAAGAATTTCGTTTCCTTCTTCTTTTACTGGGGAGGGCGTGCTCTGTACACGGGAGCGAGGAGAACAGGGATGACAAGGTTCAATACGCCTTCCACTGGCAGGAAGGAGTTCATTTATGAAGAGCCTCATCTAATTGAGTTGAGTCGCGAGAGCAGGTTGTTTTTTAGCCAAGAAATGGCTCCCGGAGGGAGCCCGCGCGTGCAAAATATTCATCTGAGAACAAAATACGGTGCTAGCGGGACAGAACAAAAAATGGACTAATCCGGAATTGAACCGGACACCTCTCGCAGCCAGAGCAATATGGCATTATGCTAAGCGAGCGTGATAACCAACTACACCATTAGCCCGACCCCAGCACAAGAGCCCTCTGATCTCTAATGTCCATGTTACCCTTTTACCCTATCCGGCTTCTCATATCTCAATACGCGCGGTCCCTCCGGGAGCCATTGCTTGGCTAAAAACACAACCTGCTCTCCCGACTCAAGTCAATTAGATGAGGCTCTTCATGAATGAACACCTTCCCGGAAGGCGTACTGTACCATTTCATTCAATTCTAACCGGCTGTGACGCGTGACCCAAAAATTCGAACTTTAGTATTCGAATATCGGCCGGACGGTCCGTGACACCCAAAAAAAATTCGAATATCCCCCGAAAATGGCCGGGTAGCTCTGAGAAAGTCTTAGGATCACTAGCTACGGTGTAGAATAAGCAGGGAAGACGACACACATCACTCTCGGCAGATAACAACAAATGGACGGTAGTACATTATATTAGAAGTTTTTTTTTGCAGGTGAGGATGATGATAGATGATGATCCGGGGGTTGAAGTAGTTGTTAGATACCTTTCTCTGCTCAGTAGTACTGCTTGGGTGAGAAACAACTGGTGGGAGGCGCAAGGAAATGTACACTTTCAACCGATTTAGCCCCGATCACATCAAACTCGGCATTTCGGAAGAGCGCTGCGGCATTTTGAACTGTACACGCCGTGCGCACGCGAAAAATAGATTTTTTGAGCCATTTTCGCACATTTTGTGACTTGGTTTGGGGTATTCGAATATCCCCTCGGTGACCCGTGACAGGTACGAAAATGTTCTGATATTTTGGCTGCCGTGACGCGTGACATCCGAATTGAATGAAATGGTACAGTATTTGCGACGCGTCTATGGCACGTGATCGCGTTCTTTTACTTAAACCAATGTCCTCTTTCAAACGGTCCTCTTTCAAACTTGGGTCTTTTGTCGTTCTGCCTTTGTGCTGGCGGACTCAAAAACCGCGGTTAGGCTGAGGCGACTCGCATTTCTCACTCTTTTTCGCTTAGCATCAGGATGCAGTTCAAGCTCAAGCTCAAGCTTACCGCTGTCGCTCTTTTTGCAGGATGTACTACACGCGTGGTGGCCTGGGATGCTGCAGGTATGTCGTTGTTCTCAACGGTCTCCCCCTTCTCACTTTGCCAGCTCATGAAATCGTGGCGACCATTGCCCAGATTCACCTACTCCCAAGTGTCCTCCCCACCATCTGTGCATTCCTCAACCACCCCTCGACGAACCCGGACGATCCGCAGTGCCATCTCGCACACGCTGCGATGTGGGCGGACGAACCGCGCCACAATATGCATTTGTCTGCGCCCAACCACTATATCGGTGGTTTCTGCGACCACCCCCCGCAAAAGTGCGCCTTTCCGAGCTCACGTGGCTGGAGAGGGATGCGGGGCGGAACCATCCTTGATGCGATACGGAATGTCACCGATATCCTCGAGGACGCCGTATTCGACAGGAACACAAGGCGGGCGCACATGTCTGTCTCCCAATACGACGACGCGAACGAGGCGGTCAAGTTTCTCATCCATTACATGGGCGACATGCACATGCCTCTCCAATTAACAGGCCGCGACCGCGGTGGGATCTCGGCCAAGGTGCTATTCAAAGGATGGTTGACAAGTAGGCCATACGTCGCTTGACCAATGAGCCTCACTCATTGCATTTAGATATACGTTCTTTATGGGACTGGCTCCTGATCGCGGAAGCTCTCCTCTCCGTTTCACGGGAGTACTCTAGTCCCCTCGCCTCTGCAAAGATTGAGCAGGCTCTCCGGGGCACCGTCTACCCCGCGTATATCCGCATGATCATGAAGGAGGGTGTCCTAGGGAAGTGGAGGAACGAGGTTCCCAACTGGCTCGCATGTCCCGCTCCGACCCCATCCCGCGCCTTCTCCCTCTCGTTTCCCACGTCCTCTGACGCTATCTTGCCGACTATCCGCCTCGTGTGGCAACGCCTCGTCGGCAGTGTACGCACGGACACGGATGACGACGTCATCTGCCCCCATTACTGGGCAGTCCCGGTGCACGCACTCAATTGCGATATCGTGTGGCCGGCGGCGCTCGACGAGGCGCCGTTCAACCGCACGCGCCTCGACGGCGCGTTGGGCGGGCCCTATCTTGAACTGGATACGCCGGAGTATGCGGGCATGATTAGCGAGCGCTGGATCGTCGAGAAGCTGCTCGCGCAAGCCGGTATACGCCTTGCGGGGGTGCTCAATTACCTGTTTGCTGATGTTAAGGATGCGAAGGCGGGGAGACTATCGTGGAGCGGTAGACCGCATGTTGATTATAAATATTAAGTATCTTTTGAGTACTGGTGTATCTTAGTGTAGCGCCTTGGGGCCAGGATAATAGGGTTGAATTAGAATACATTTTTATGTACCGACTGTGGCCACACATAATAGAATTTCAGTTCAGTACGCGTGAACGCAGGCGCATAGGACGAGTTTTCCGAGAGCTTGCCCGACTGTCAACGGCAACGGCACCCGCGCGAAAGACGGGGCGCGTAAATTTCTTCTTGCCGTCATCATGGATGAACAGGGATGGACTTTTCCGCTTGGGTGTCTTTTGTCACGCCGGTCGTTCCGACGCAAACTTTGCCAGCAAGCTCGACACAGGTCGAGATCAACTAGCTGGCCGATTATACCCGTTTGCGGATGAGAAGGTGGGGAGAAAATCGTTGGTCTTCCAAACTAGGAAGTTTGCAGCTTGTTCGTGTGTACAGCCACTCTTTGCCATAATAAGCACGAATGCTTCAACCTTCGATGCATGCAGAATTGCCGTCCAAGCGTGAAGCTGCAAAGCCACCACCATGATGGATCTTTTGCATATACTCGGATTTAGCTTTGGCCTCCGGTAGCGCCGGTAAACCTACAAAGAGCTTGCGATATTGTTTTTTGTGGCTTTGTGTTGCCGCGGTCAAAGCACTCACTCCCAAGGCCAAAGCGTCTGGCATATAAAGATACAGACAAAGACATCCATCTTGGACTCAAACTCTTCACGACCTCAAGACCTCAAGACGTTGACACTCGCAAGTCGCCCTCCAGAGACCCGCCGCCGCCATTATGTCGCTTGCTTCCTCGATTTCCACGCCACCCAGGGCATGGGGGTACCTTCGGCCTGTCGGCTCAGACGTGGAGGCCATTGGGCTCAGCGGCGTAGTGATTGCTATTGGACGGACTACGCGGGGATATATCGAACGCGAAGACCAAGCCTCGGTCCAATATGTGGTTCTTAACGGACCAGCTGTCAGTGAGTAGCTGTTCTGAGCTCCACTCTCCGAAGACTTCACTGAAGGGCGGTAAATTTGTAGGCAATATCCACTCCGTCATTCATTGGAACGGGAGGGAAGGTGCAGCATCGATTGTTACGCTGACCGACTATTCCATGAACGGAACCTTTGTATGTCCTCCGCATTCGATTGATCCGTATAATTTGATCCCTGACGTTCTTAGGTCGACGGTTTCAAAGTGGGTCCTCGTAATGTGCACCACCTTTACAACGGAAGCATTGTTTGCTTCGGTTGCAAGGTCCCGATCCTCGGGCAAACTGATTTTCGTTCGTCGTCTATCCTTTGAAGATCATAGCTGCAACTGGCTCCTTCTGTTCCTTCAGGCTATATATTCCATCACGCATTTGGTCGTTCCAAGACAGAATCTGTCCTCACTCACTACGAATTGCTGGACTGCGTAGGTAGTGGCGCGTTTGGAGTCGTCCATCGTGCAATCGAGAAAAAGTCGGGGAAGGTCTTTGCCATCAAGACTGCTTTCAGGGTATATCCTTTTGCTTCATCTCGCTTCATCTTACTCTCATACCCACTTCAGGAGCCGGAAACAGAATGCGCGCCAGACACGCCAATACTGATGGCTGGGCAAGAGGTGTGTTTTTACCTGCCATCTCCCCGTGAGTGATAGCTTAACAGCATTGCGCGGGGAAGACGATGACCATGATGGTCCTGGAACACGAGAACATATGCAAGCTGCAAGAGGTATTCTTTCGTCTAGATGGCGAGGTTGTCGGTCAGTCCGTCAGTCACATTTGCTTCATTGTTAAACTCTCCGTACCTTCACAGATATCGTACTGGAGTACGTGGACGGTGTCGGTCTGCATAGGCTCGGCAGTTTCGCGGGTCGGCTGAGTGCGTCTCATGTGTTCACACATTCCGGACCAACTGACGACGACTCAGCTGAACACCATGTCAGAGAGATAGCACATCAAGTCTGTACTGCGATTTCGTATATGCATGGCAAAGGAGTGTTGCATGGCGATTTGAAACCAAACGTTAGTCCGTCAATCCGAAGTGCGTTGTTTGAATGATAACGAGCAACCTGTTTGGCTCTTAGAATATTCTTCTTACGCGTGCACACCCTTGGACGATCAAGGTCATAGACTTTGGTCTTGCGCGAGTCGTTGGAAATATCAATTTGCAGGCAATTCTATAAGTCCCTTCCGAAGTCTCGCTTACGCTGACCAAGTCCGCAGCGCGTCTCCGCTCACATTTATACTGCTCCGGAGGCACAGCTGCAACAACTGCGGCTGGAAAATCCGCCAGGTGCACTGACACATCTGTGGGACAGCTGGGGCATCGGGTGCATTCTCTTCAATCTGTGGGTCGCGCCTTCCCGAAATCCTTCCTGCTTGCTCAATTATCGTACTCAGTCATTCTTTTTCGCACCCCTTCGTAAGAGAGAGCGAAAGGAAGGATAGCAATGAAGACGAGGGGCCTTTCGAAGTCGGCATTGACTACATTCTCTGGCATCTATTGGACCATCTCAGCACTAACGGTGCGGCCCGTAGCTTCCAGTGTCGAGTGTGTTTCTGACATTCCTTCATTCAAAGCGCGAGACTTGGTCAGACGCCTCCTCGCCGTAGACCCGCACGAGCGTATGACCGTCGCAGCGGCCTTGCACCACCCGTGGCTTGCTGGCTACGAGCCGTACAACGTCTCCTTTGCGGACGTCTCATTCCTCCCGCCTTCGCCCGCGTCACGGATCATACCACTAGAGGAGACCGTCGCCGACTCTGACACCGA